CCTGAAGCTGGATTTGAACTCAGGTCCTCCTGACTTCAGGGCCAGTGCTCTGTCCACTGTGCAACTTTGCTGCCCCTAAAGCATATTTCTACATGGCCAGAATGGCCCTGGTTTGAAGATGAGGCTAATGGGATAGTCCATTTGGGAGAAGGTTAGCTAGTCTATTTTGAGTGTTTGCAGCCAGTACCCTTCTCCCTGCCACAACTGGTCACGCTGACCGATTATGGGATAGGGAGGAGTTGGGATGGGACTGGGCCATACAAGAGTCCCCTTATCACTCTTCCAGATCCTGGTGTTGGATGGCAAACTGCTCCGGACCGAACCTGCCAAAGTGATGGATACTGTGCAGAAGTTCCTCGGGGTGACCAACATTATTGATTACCATAGAACTCTGGTGTGAGTGTTGTCCTGACCGCAAAGCTTCTCTGTCGGAAGCACATCCCTAAGCTCTGGAGCCAGAATAGCTGGATCCCACTGGCCTCTTTTGGATAGGCATTGTCCCTTGTGTGCCAAGATGTATGGCTGTTTCCTTGGCAGGAGTGTCAACATTCATAAGCAAATAAATGCAGTAGCCTAGTGTTTGATAAACCCAAAGATCCTAGCTACCAGAGTAAAAACTCACTATTTGGAAAAGACTTCTGGGAAAAAATGAAATCAGTCTGGCAGAAAGTAGGTGTAAACCAACATCTCATACCATATACCAGGGTAAGCTCCTTTGCGGGAGCCTATGGATGGAAGAAAGACTCCCATCACATCTGGTTTCACATTTACTAGGGTTCATCTGTCTTCTCTATGTGTATTGTTAAGTGTAGTAAAACAACTTGGAGAAATTCCAGTAGTTGGAGCCAGGAAATCTGGGTTTTAGTTGTGTCACTGACTCACTTTGGGACCTTTAGTCTGTTACTTCTCTCTGGGCCTCAGCTTCTGCATCTGTAAAATGAGAGGGCGTGGAGATATGATTTTTAAGGTTCTTCCAGCTGTCATGTTCTTTGATCCAGGGTCTCTTCAGCTCATATTAAGAAGATGTACCATTTGTTTTTATATCACTTTATTAATCTCAATTCATCCCTTCCTTCCTTTTACCCAACTCAGAGTGCCATGTCTTTTAACAAAGAATAAAAAAGAGGTGGGGGAAAAAAAACCAAACAAACCAAAAACAAAAACAATTTAGCAAAACTAACTAGCACATTGATGAAGTCCAGTAGTACATGCAGAGTTCTACATCCATAGGTCCCCCATCTCTCCAAAAATCCCATCAATTTTTAAAAAAGAAAAGCCCACCTTTGCAGCTGAGATGTTGTCAGCCTAGATCTCTTCAACACTTGTGAATTTCTCTTCTATTTTTGGTTTAAATGTTTCTGTAATCCTTATTTTGGGGGACATTTGGTGTCCATTCTTTTTCTATAGCTTTGATCTGTCACTAAAGATGCCGTGATTTGTAAGCCTTCTACGTATACTATTGTCTTCCCGTCTAAGATGATGATGATAGCTGCTCATTTTTCTGTAGCACTTCAAGGTTAACAGAGGATTTCCTCACAACCCTGTGAGGTTGGTAGTACAATTTTTCCCATTTTACAGATGTGGAAACCCAAGCCCAGAGAAGTGAAATACCTTGTCTAAGATCCATAGCTAGTAAGTGACAGACTCAGAACTTGAACCCTGGCCTTTTTACTTCCAACTCCATTGCTTATCACACAGACTGCTCCTGGTTTGTCTCTGTAATGCTGAAGTGCTCTGCCTATCTCTTGGGACCTAGGTTTGAATTGTACTCTATATATGAAAATGTCTGTCTCATGGGGGAGATATGTTGAGTGGAGTTAATATATTCTATCTCCTTGTAGGTATGATGCAAAGAAAGGATTCTGGTGCCAGCTGCTTGAAGGAGGGAAAACCAAGTGCTTGGGCAAAAGCAAAGGCAGGAAGTACCCAGAAATGGATTTGGATGTAAGTAGCTGGAGCTGCTTCTTTGCCCCTAATTGGCTGATGTGGAAGGTGATGGTGTAGCTAGGTTAATTCAGATCATAGGAACTTTTAGGGAAATGCATCAGACCTTCTGAAACAAAAAGTTTTTTGAATCTTATTGGAATTTCTTGGAGATTGTATTCATCTAGAAATACTAGTCCAGAAAGAAAGACTATACTAGTTTATGCCCCCAAACATATCCTCTGCTCTCCTGCTCCTGGGCTTTCCGATATGCTGATCTTTACGCCTTTTATGCTCTCCCTTTGCTTTTAATATGCTCATCGGCTGAAGCCCAGTTCAGCTACCTCCTACCTCATCATCCCTTCCCTCAAATCTTCCCTCTCCCTACCATGAGTAATGGTCTTCTGCTTGGATTTCACATAGAAGCACTTTATTATTTTTTTTTCGGTATTTTTTAAAATTTTATTTTGAGTTATCAATAATCACTTCCATAAGCTTTTGAGTTTCAGATTTTTCTCTCCCTCCCTCCACATCTCCTTCCTCAAGACAGCACACAGTCTGATATAGGCTATACATATACATTCCTATTAAACATATTTTCACATTAGTCATGTTGTAAGGAAGAATTAGAACCAATAGGAGGAACCACCAGAAAGAGGAAACAAAACACAACAGAAGAAAAAAAAGAGCAAATAGTATGCTTCAATGTGCATTCAGACTCCATAGTTCTTTCTTTGGATGTGGATAGCATTTGCCATCATGAGGCCTTTGGAGATCTTAGATCCTTGCATTGCTGAGAAGGGTTAAGTCTATCAATATTAGTCATCGCACAACGTGGCTGTTAGCGTGTGCAATGTTCTCCTGCTTTTGCTCACTTCACTCAGAATCAGACCATTCAAGTCTTTCTAGGTTTTTCTGAAGTCAGCCTGTTCATCATTTCTTATAGCACAATAGTATTCCATTACATTCATGTACCACAACTTGTTCAGCCATTCCCCAATTGATGGGCATCCCCCCAATTTTCAATTCTTTGCCACCACAAAAAGAGCTGCTATGAATATTTTTGTACATGTGGGTCCTTTACCCATTTGTATGATCTCTTTGGGATACAGCCCTAGAAGAGAAGCACTTTATTCTGCACCCCTCTAACAAACTTATCACATAATAAACACTTTTAAGTGCTTACTTTGTGTCATGCACTGCACTAAACTTTGGGGATACAAATAAAAACAAGCAAGAACTTGCATTCTAATAGGAGAAGAAAATGCATATAGAGGGGCCAGAGATAAAAAGGTGGGACGTGAAGCTAGGCATGGTTTCTGGAACTGGTTGGCAATGGGGTGGTCTGGTCCAGGACAAGATAAAATAAAAGCTCACGTGTCTAGCACAGATTCCAGGGGCAGAGCCTAATTTCTAGTGGGAATAGGAAGGGGAGCAAGTATGGCCAGAGTTCAGGTGGCTTGGTTTGGAAATGGCCAGGAAATGTTGTAAAGTATTTTGCAGACTCTGAAGCACCACGTAGATGTTAGCTACCGTCATCGTCATCATTGTTGTATTATCATTATCATTATTATTATTATTGTCTCCTGTGAGACTTTAAGTTCTTGAGGGCAGGACTATATCTTTAAAAAATTTTGTATCTTACCCAGTGACTAAAACGGTAGTTCTGTGCATATATTTTGGTTGTTGTTGAGTCATTTTAGTCATGTCTGACTCTACGTGACCCTATTTGGGATTTTCTTGGCAGAGATACTAGAGTGGTTTGTCTTTTCCTTCTCCAGCTCATTTTATAGATGAGGAACTGAGGCAAAGAGGGTTAAGTGACTTGCCCAGGGTCACATGACTAGGAAGTGTCTGAGGCTGGATTTGAACTTGGGGTGATAAGTCTTCCTGATTCTAAGCCCAGTGCTCTATCCGCAGCGTCACCTAGCTACCCTATTGATTTTGATTCCCCAGTTATTGTGGTCAGATACCAAAAGAAATGCCAGACAGTCTCTACCCCTAGGTAACTTTAAAATTCATTTGGGATAGACAACCATGGCATGGTGGATAGTCAGAAAGACCTGGGTTCAAGTTCTCCCTCTTACACTGATTGGCTTTGTGATCCTGGACAAATCGCGCTAAGCTCTCATTGCCTCAGGCTGTTCTCTGAGCCTGTAAATTGTAGAACAGATACAGATCAGCTTTGTGGAGGGAGTTTCCTTATTAGGAGTTTCATAGAATACCAATGAAGTCATAGACCCAGTGGTCCAAAAGAATCCAGTTAGGGCTCGAGGCAGAAAAAGATTTGTTTTGTTGTTCAGTTGTGTCTGACTTTCCATGACCCTATGAACTGGTCATGGGGTTTTCTTGGCAAAGATACTGAAGTGGTTTGCTGTTTCCTTCTCCTGTATGTCACCATTTTACAGATGAGAACTGAGGCAAATAGGGGTTAAGTAACGTGCCCAGGGTCACCTAGCTAGTACATGTCTGAGGCCACATTTGAATTTAGATCTTCCTGACTGCAGGCTTGGTGCTTTAACTACAGCACTACCTAGTTGCCCACCCCATCCCAACCCCCCACCCCTGCAAAAAAAAAAAAAAAGCATAGTAACCCTTTAAAAGAAATAATGTATTGCTAAGATTGTTAATAGATCATAGTGTACTGAAGGGTATGGGGTGATTAGGGGAGGAAGAGGTGAGTTCTGAGCAGACCACTGATGTTTTGGTTTCCCTTTCTTGTTATAGTCACGAGCGTTCCTAAGAGACTATTACCGGGACCATAACATCGAACTTTCTAAGCTGCTGTATAAGATGGGCCAGACGTTGCCCACCTGGCTGCGGGAGGACCTCCAGAATACTAGGTAGCTGCTGCCATCACCATGACCAGAGTGAGCATTCATGATGGCCAGGGAGCCCCAGCCTCACACTGAGCCACCCCGGGGGTGTGGAACATAGCCCAGAACTGCCAAGCATTTCTGAGCAGTACCCCACCAAGGCCTGACCTGGGAACGAGACGAAGATCCCAGTGCAGCTGAAGAGAGCTCCAGAGCCTCCCCCAGCCAAGGCCTACAACCAGGCACGTGGCCCCAAGCATTTCCGGAGACCTGCTCGAAGCTTCCCTGGGTGTAAGGTTGCTTCCCGTTTGTGGGACGCCACTGCCTTGTGAGAGGGATTCTGTACTACTCCTCACTGTGCCCTTAGGCACTATCCCCTTCCCCCAGGCAGGGCACTCCCTCAGTATTAATCGCTGGGTTTCCCACCAGCTGGACAGTGAGGGGGGTGGGGTGGGACAGGAATGATCTTTTGCTAGACGGGATGGGGGACCAGGACATACCCCTGTCCATTTCAGAAAAGGTCCTTCAGAAAGATAGGTCTGGTACTCAGAGCTAGTTACCAGGCTGGACTTAAGTCTGATGGCCTCCAGAGACTTCTGGAGCCCATCTGATCAATACCTTCCCCTCTCTGTCCTTAAAATGTCTTCGGTACCTGCAGTATCTACTCAGTCCCCAAGGGATCTTTCCAGGGGATGTTTTTAACCCCTCCATCCTAACATCCTGACTCCTAGGACCAGGTCCTGGAGTTGTCCCAGAATACTTACCCTAACTTCTTGCCCCATATCCTTTCCATATCATCAGATATGACTTACGTGGTGTTTTCTGTGGTAAAAGACTGAGGTGACCCCAGGGTCCAGCTACCAGAACCCATTCCAGTGTACATAAAATGTTCCCTCCAGCCCCAAGCAAAGGCTATGGGCAGTGAAGATGGTGCCTACAGCCCGGTACCTCTGCCTCTGTTCCTGCTTTGAGCAGGCTGAGGCTTCCCCGGAGAACCTTTTAAAACCTCTCAAATACTAAAAGCTGAAGTATTTTAATATTTTGGTTTTTGTTTCTTGGTGCCAGAGTTTGTACCCTGATTACTGGGGCTACACTGTGTTATTTTATATAAACTCTCTCTGTCTCTCTCCCTCTTTCCCCCATTTGTCTCTTGTCTCCCTCCCTCTTTTTCTCTCTGTTCCTCTTTCCCCTTTCTTTTCATGGGTTTGTTTTAATCCAGCTGCTACCATAATCAAGGTGGCAGGGCATCTAATCGGTGGGGTCAGAAAGGTAGCATTGGCTACCAGTAGCTCTAAGGGAGGGTGACAGTTTCTCTGTCTCACCCTGAGGCTGCCTGATTTTTGTCTCCTGCAGGCAGCAGATAAAATCAGGGAGGAGCAGATCCTTTAGGCTGGTGTTTATCACACTAGGCTATTATCTTGCAGTTGCACATCTATATATATATATATTAGAAAGAAGGAGAGAGGAAGAAATGGGCCAGACTTCTACACCAGTGCTGTGTGTTTTCAGGGATCTGGTGTTCCTGATTTGTGTGTCTTTGTTACCTCGGGTTCCTTTTCCACCTGGGGAGGTCTTGTGTGCTGGGTAAGTTACCTGAGGTCTTGGCCACAGAGAGAACATAGAAGGGTTTTAGTAAGGATGACTGTCACAAGGTCTGGAACCCCCATATTCTTGACAACCCCTTAGTTCTTCACTATTCTTTTGGGTATGCCTGTGTTAGAGGTCAGGAGGCCCTGGAAGTAACACCAATTTATTGATCATCTAGAAGACTGGAAGAAGAGGCATGCATGGGACCAATATGAATGTATAGCGGGGTAGGAAAGGGGAAAGTGCCGCTGGATAAGCAAGAGAGCCCCAAGCCCGTGTAACTGGGCATCTGCTGGCAGAAACAGGATTCTCAGCATTAGTGATACTAGATTCATCACGGCTTATGTTTCTAGTTCAGCATCCCTGATCATCTGGCCCAGCTGGAGAAATGGAGCCTGTGTGGAAACTGGAGAGTATTGTAAGCTTAAGCAGATCAAGGCAAGCCAGAGACCTTAGGTTCCCAGCGTGGGCACCGTCCTTCTGCAGTCCACCAGAGCCCACATTTTTGATGTGGGGGCCCCAGTCAGTTTGCCCTTTGCTATAGTTGGCACTATCCCTGTTCCCGTGGGAGATCAGGTCAATGGATCAGACTCCTAGGTGAGTCTGAGAGCCCTCCCATAGCAGCAGTAGGTCAAATTCCTGAGTCACCTGAGAGAAAGGGCCTGCAAATGACCTTATGAAGCCTGAGAGTAGGATAGAACTCAACAATTTCTGCCCTGAAAAGGGCAGTCTTCAAAGTCTTGTGTCTGGGGATATGTGGTGGGAGATGAAGAAAGAAAACCAACGAATAGTAACTTAAATCCAGGCCTTTATCCTTGATGGAGAGAAGCCAGGAAGCAAAAGACAATACACTTCCTCTGGGAGGACTTTGAACATACAGAGTGGGTAGAGGGGATGATTAGGGTGGTCCTTACTACCCAGAAGAACAGGAAGGAAGAGGAAACTTAAAAACATGAACTACTTGGGGGAGAATTCTCTTTTACCAAAACTGCTGCGGAAACTGGAAAAGTTTGGCAAAAATAGAGACTGGTGGCCAACACCATATACCACAATAAGTTCTAAGTGGATAAGTGACCTAAAAAAGAACATCACAGAAAAAAAGAAAAAGGGCAGAGTACTAGACCAAGCACACTCTAAAGTAGGCATTTACATATGCTGTGCCAGAGGGCCAAGGTAAGGCAGGATAAGCCAGTGGTCAGTGTACTGTTTAGTTCTGTTAAAGACACAGGACATTACCTTCTTACCAAGAAGAGAAGTAGGGCCATGAGGGGGTGGGAGTGGTAGGATTGGGCAAAGGAGGGGTAGAATTGCCTCAGGTAGCTTGTCCAATTAAACTGTAAGGGCTGGAAGACCATACCTATCAGTATCTCTAATGAGGTTATTATGCTGTCATTTTGAGCCTGCCCATACACAGTAGTATAATAAGTAGAGTCAGAACTGGTATGTATTATAATCTGGCTCTGGTCTGACTGGGAAAGAAAGAGAGAGATGAAATCAGGTGAGAGTTCTTCATCAAAAAGCAATGCAACTTCTGGGGACTAGAGTGTCCGTAGTGGTTTTCCCTAGTGTTCCCCTGTGTGGTGTTGGGAGCACTGTGGGACCCTATCTGTGGGTGTGACAAGGTAGCTGCAGCTGTGACAACCCTCTGACTCCTTCCCTATGCTCTAGAGTGATTCTGTGTCAGAATTCATGGGACCCTGATGCAGGATAGTTTCTATGCCTGGATCCAAATCTTTCTAATATGGAGGAGACATGATGGAATAGAAAGAATATATTGGATGTTTGGGAAAACACTAATGAAGTGCTCCTGGTGAGGCTTTCCCTTTCCCTCAAGGTACAATGCCAGGTGCCGGGAGACAAAAGCCCCCAAGTCAGTTTGGAGGAAGGGAAGGGTGGCCAAAGATGGTGGATCAACTGCGGAGTGAAGTTTTCTCCTTTCTGGAAACCTGACCATGTGACGGGTCCATGCAGCTCAGATGTTGGCCAAAGAAAAAGGGATGTGGTGATTAGGGGAAGGTGGAATAGGGTTGCAAAGACTGATCCTGGCTTAGAGATCTATGGAACCAGAGTTGAGAGCCAGCCCCATTTGAAAACCCAGGATAGAATGGGATTCTCACCCATTACCAAATTGTTCGGATGATTACAGTTTTGTCTTACGGTTTGAGATCTGTTACTACTAGGCTGCTTTCTTTCCCATTTTTGGGGGGAATATTTTGATATTTTTTGATTGATTCCCTTGATATTCTTGACCTTTTTATAATGGGATCCTCTAAAAAGTATCTACTCAACCCATCTCTTCTTTAACTTGGTGCTAGCGTGTGGGATTTACCTAGGGTTCACAGTTGCTGTTTTAGTGAGCAGAGATGCCTGTCATTGCCTGTCTTGCCAATAACAGGTGTATTGGTATCTTTTCCAGCCAGAAGTCTTGTCTGGGGCATTGGGCTGAAGGAAGAGAGCTGACTGCCTTCCTCTGGTCTGGTTGCCCTAGGTTATCAGGGCAAGTGTATAGACACAACTGATTGGCCCTTCCAGATGTTATATACTGCTCTGAGTCAGAAAGCAAGCCTAAGTGGTGGTGTCTTGCAAGCTCACTTTAGATAGCAGCTTCTCTAAGCTATTTACTTTTACAGGAGTCAGGTATCTCCCCACCAATCCTAACCCACTTGTAAAACTGTGAAGTGACTCATATGTAGTGTTCCCATTACCCCCACCTAACTTGTACCACTGCTAGGTTCATTCCTTCACTGAAGTCCCAGGGAGACCATTCTGGCAAAAGCTGTAAGAAAGCCCTGTCTGGATCATCTTGCATCATCACCTGGGCCTCACTGTTACTTTTCAGGTTCCCCTCCCTTCTTATCTACAAAGCCAGACAGAAAGAAGTCTTTCCTTCCAGGCCAGGATTCCTGTGTATCAGCTTTTGCTATCCCAGACTTTGGATTCTGTCTTGGACTCTCTCTCCTCTGAAGGGCTTCCCAGCCTCAGGTTTCTGTGCTCCTGCCACAGTTTATTCTTGTCTTTAACTTAGAGTCCTAGTGATGCTGGAATGGAGATAGGCAGAGAGAGTATAGTTGTAGGCTTGGCTATCCAAGAAGACATTCTTTAATTGTAGAGAGCTACTTGAAGGAGGGAAAACTCAAGTGCTTGAGCAAAAGCAAAGGCAGAAAAAACCCAGAAATAGGACTGGATGTGAATAGTTGGAGCTGCTTCTTTTAGATACCATGCTAGTGGGATTTACCTAAACCCAGCTGCTCTGGGGGTTGAGGTGGCAGCAGAGGCCCCACAGTTGTAATTTCCATTTGAGTCTAAATACAGTAGGCAGTGTGGACCTGGGAGGGGAGGAGAATTTGATGGAGTGGCTGTTGTAGCCCTTGCAGTGGAAGGCAGTCCCAGCATTTGGGTGGGAAGCTAAATGATATGGGGCCTGTTGCTGTGGTTTTGCTGGGACATGCTGGAGACAGAAGAGCTGTGCTATCAAAGCTAAGAATGAAAACTGAGATATGAGCCAGGTCAAACTGTGCTACAGTCAAACTAAGATCCATGATGGGATAGGGCAACATGAGCTTAAAAAACTTGGGCTGACCTAAGGAAGACAGGTTGACCAGGATCCTATCTATTGCTGGGGCTGCTGCTGCTGTTACTTTCTGGAGCTGGGGAATTCCACCCTATAGGAGCTGCTGTGTTAGGCCTAGAAGCCTGAACCTGATTGAGTGATGTCATTGTGATTAGAGCTGTAGCAGTGCCTCTGCTAGTGAAGGGAAGCCACAAGGATAGAGCAGTGTGCCCACTGAAATCCTTGAGTGTGAGATGTCCTTCTGCCTTCAACTTAAGCTCAGGCCCCTGTTGTTTTGTCTGGGAACTTGGAGGTCAAGAGAGTAGGTGTAATTCATATTGCCCTTGACATAAATGGCCTCCTTAAATTCTATTCTTCCAAATCTCCCTACTGTAAGCACCTCTCCCCCAAATTAGGAGCAGGGTTGGGGGAGCCAAGAGTAGAGACTCAAGAAGTTGCGCTTAGTTGTATGGCTTGCATTGGCACCCTTCAGATTCTGCATGATTTGCATTTCCATTGTCCCCTTCATAGATTTCCCAATATTCTGTCCCCCAAGTTAAGGCATCCCTAAGGAAAAGACTCAGCCTGGCAAGAAAACATCAAATCTTAGTGGCTGGTACCATCAACTGGACTTGAAAAGAGTATGACCCTGTGGTAGCTAATGATCAAAGCTGCCCTGACCATGACTGAGATACCTATATTCATTGCAGAAGACCAACAAAGCCACATGGAAGAGATCTCAATAGGCTAGAACAGTGAGAAATCATATTAGAATTAAATGTAAAGCCTTGATCAAAAAAGTCAGTTTCACAATTATAGGATTGGGGGAGGGCACGTGGGCGGGCAGAAAGATATACTGAGGTGGGGAAAAAGTGATGCAGAGGTGAGACCCATCCCTATCATGAGAGCTTTAAACTCATCTTGAAGAAGCCTCAGAGCCCATTGGAGGGAGTGTAGCTCCCATCTGTAATGCTTCTCTTTGCCTCCTTCTGCCTTTGGGCAGGTGGAAGCTGGCATCTTGGAAGGAGGCCCCTTCTTTATTGATAAGCCTTCTTCCTACATTAGGAGTTAGGTTGGCAGAATCAAGAGGGACATGATCAGCTCTTTTCCCAACACCTGCTAGAAATCTGAACTTCTAAGACTGAGGGTCTTGTTGCTACCACATGGGTTAACTATCTCTGGGTTATCTATCTGGGCTGCTGCTGGTACCAGCCCTCTTGTAAGTAAGCATTTATGAAGCACCTACTCTGTACATAATCATATACTTGGTACAGCTTGGGAGAAAGGCACAAAACCTCCTCCTGCCCATAACAAAGTCACAATCTAATAGAGGAAACACGTTTAAGAAACCAAAACAACCACTTCCACAATGACAGTGTCTGCTTAAAGTGTCATATGAATAATCCACATAGTAAAATCTAAACTGAGGAGGGGGATGTGATACAGGGCAGAGGCAGTTTAGAAAGACCTCACAGAGGTGGACCTTGAGCTCTTAGGACATTCACAATGGATAGAAGTTTAGGTGGAAATGAAAGGGAAGGCATGGGGGTGGGACAGTGTAAAGGTAATGTGCTTAGGAAAGGGAAAGAGAGGGGGAAGGAAATAAATCCTCACTGCATCTTTCTGCCTTTGGTCCAAAGAACTAGCCAGAGTTCTCAGAAGAGGGGATATCCCATTGAGCTTGAATTCTACCCACTTGTGTTGCCTTGAACTCAGGGAGAGCCTGGGAAGCAGTTGCTTTGTCCTTCCATCTTTGGGTTCATACTGGCTGGAATAAGGCATAGTCTTCTCATGTGCATAAGAAATGAAGAGTCTGGTCCATGATTTCTGTATGTCTTGCTCCTCTGGGCCTCGGGCAGGAAAAATAGGGAGTGGGAACTCGGGCAATTGACTCTTAATGGTCTGGGTGAAACGAGCTACATTTTCTCACTAGAAAGCTTCCCCCACCCCATCTCCCTTCTCTCTTTCTGACTCTGATTCAATGACCCTTACATATATCCAAGAAGAATCTGGGGTGGGGGGAGCAGAAAAGGTTATATGGAAAGTGCAAAAAAGACAAAGGTTTATACAGCTCTTTGTTTTTATTATCTCTCACCTCTCCCCTTTTGCCAATTTTTGAGTAGAATCCATGTCTCTTCCTAGGGAGAGGAAGCCCATAGTTGGGATATGGGGGTAGGGGGGAAGGGAGGAGCAGTGTTAAGGGAAAGAGAGAGAAGGATCTCTTCCCGTGTTGGGAGGGATGGGGAGGGGGTGGCTTCGAGATAAAGCTCAACCTATCTCTCCTGTTTCCTAGTGCTCTTATACCAGCCTTTTGGTTTCATTGGAAAAGAGAACCTTCATCACTAATGTACAATCTTGAACTAACTGCTAATAAAATGGGATTGTTTGTATTCATTTCTCTGGGCTGTTTGTTTTTCTTTTTGCCAAGTGATGTCTGAAAATAGAGATTTCTCGTTGTTAGTGGGTTAACTTTAGGTATATGTACTCTGTAGAGGGGAGTAGTCATTTGGACAGTCAAAAAACTTTTCTTTGGAGTTTTGGGAAATGGTATTTATAGTACTTTAAATCTGAAAATAGAAATGTCCTAGGAATTCATAGGATTTCTAATGAATATGCATTAAGAAAGTAAATTCAATATCCCCAAATGAAAGCTGTCAGGTAGGCTGAATGGCCTAATGGAAAGAGCTTTGAACTGGGATCATGAATTCTGTGTTCTGGATTCTGGCTATGTCACTAAACTGACTTTTAAAGGTTGCAAAGCCATTTCAAATTGCTATAAGCCATACTGAAGGGCATGGTAGCTCAAGGCTATAACCCCAGTGAGGAACCAATCGCCCTCCCTCTACCTTTTGAGTATCCCTCGATATATACCTGGGACAGTGAAGAGAGCTCTGAATTAGGAATTGTAAGACTTCTGTTCCTGACTGACACTCATTAGGACAATCGGCAAGTCATAGAATCATAGACTTTTTTAAAAAGATAGTTTTTGTTCTTATACCACCTACATTTCTCAGTGAATACCTTTTCTCAACACCTCCTAGAAAGCCATCCCTTTATAACAAAGAATAAAAAAGGGGGAAAAACAGTTAAGGAACTAACACTTGGCAAAAGTCCTCCATCCATCTGTACTATTCTATGCCCATGCCATGTTTCCCCACCTCTCTGCAAAGAAAGGAGAGAACTTCCTCCTCATGTTGTTTGTTTGATACTAAACTTGGTCATTATAATTTCATAACATTCAGTTTAAATTATTTTGTTCTTTCAGTTTATTTTCTTGTAATTGTGTATAGTTTTCTTTCTCCTGCGTACTTCACTATAGATCAGCGCCTTTACTTCTTGGTATTCATCGTATTTCTCATTTTTTTTTTTTTGGTGAGGCAGTAGGGGTTAAGTGACTTGCCTAGGGTCACACAGCTAGTAAATATCATATGTCTAAGGCTGGATTTGAACTCAGGTCCTCCTGACTCCAGGGCTGGTGCTCTCTCCATTGCATTACCTAACTGCCCCCTCTAATTTCTTACAATAGAATAGCATTCCTTTCCTTTCACATACCATAACTTGCTGAACCATTACTGCCTGATGAATTATAGACTCTTAGAGCTGGAAGGCATTTTAGAGGTCATTCAGTTCGATCCCCATCATGAATAACACAAATAGGGAATCATCCCACATTCTTCTTGAAAAGTTCCAGTGATAGGGAGCTTCACCAAGCACTCCATTCCATTGACCAACTGATAACAAGAAACTCCTTCTATTAAGCTCAAATATGCCTCTTTATGTCTTCCCATTATTGGTACTAGTTCTCTCTAGGGCCAAGCAGAACAAAGATATAACTCTTTCCACTGGAAAGGCCTTCAGAGAAGGCAGACATAACCACTGGTATAAACTAAGTCTTCTTTTCAGGCTAAACATTCAGAATTCCTTTAGAATGTGAGAATACAGATTCCAGCCTCCTGGTCCCAGGCATCCACTTTTGGACACCAATGTCCTTCCTAAAATGGGGTTCCCAGAACTGAACACAAGACTCCACATGGGATGTGACAAGAATAGAAGACAGTGGGCTTCTCTCTCCCATGTTCTGGACACTGTAACTTTGTAGTAGCTCTTTTGTCCTATACCTACTATGTTGACTCACATTGTGCTTATAATCACTAATCCCCGCCCAGGGGCTTTTTCACACTAACTTTTGTCTAGTCAGGTCTTTCCTTTCCTGAATGTGTACAGTTGATCTTTTGAATCCTAAGTTAATAGGACTTTCCTGGGTAACAAACCCATAAAAAGTGATGAAGGAAAGTGAGGATATTTGGGGGGCATCCTTCAACTTTTAGGCTGATGTCAAAGAGGACAACCAGGTCGTTTTATAGCATGTCCTTTGATATCTTCTTCAGAAGTAGAATCCTGGGGAACAGGGTGGTTTTTGGTTTTTTTTTTTTTTTTTTTTTTTTTTTTTTTTTTTTTTTTTTTTT